GGGTTGTTAACCAATGTCATAAAACAGCATGTGTGTTACTGTTACATGAGGAACTATCTGTTCTGTAAGCCTTCACCTGAAGTACAATAAAATATTAAAAAAAAAAAAAAAGTTGCATTAGTAAATTATGCCTTCACAAATATATTAATTCACATTTCCAATAGAAAAAAGTGTCAAAGGAAGCTGATAATTTCTCTCAAATATACAAAATGAATTACTCTTATATTTGTCATCTTATCTACAAGCCACAATATTTACACTCATGGGCAAAAATAATCAATTACTTTCAATGGCACCAAGCATTTTAAAACAATGGTTAAACTAAAAGGAGTAAGAATATCTTGGAGAAAAAATTGATTCCAGGTCTGGGTCAAGAAATGTACAAAATGACATGTGAAGAATGTTGATAGGGAAATATCTACCACACACACACAAAAGAAAGAAATACAAAAGATGAGCCTGGAACATCTTTTCTGGTTTGACAGCAGGAAGCTCTCAAAGTTGTCCATGATTCTATCAAAAGGACTAAAGAGCCAATCTGAAGAGAGTCCCACAGGCCAAAGATGGAATAATTTGAGCATTGATAAGAAAACAAAAACTGTAATACATTGAAACACATCAAAATATGTTTAAACCTAAATTAGGGGAAAACCATCTCATGGTCATTATGTGGTGGATAAAAAGGAACCAACTCGTTACTTTGAAATACAGTAAATAAAGGGAGAAAAGCATTTATCCTGCTTTTTCTAAAGAAAGTGTACCTCAAGGTAACCAAATGGTTAATGAGGGCAGGTTTCTCTTTATAGAAATAATCCTGCTAATAAATGAAGGAATCACAGAATTATAACATCACTATTTTTGCAATCCTTAATGAAATAATGGATCCAGGCAAGGATCATCAATCATTACTAGTATCTCAAAAAGAGAGCTAACTAGACATTAGATTGTCTCCTGATGGATGTACTCATTATTATCTCTGATGTGTTCTTGGCAAAAAAATAAAATAAAACAAATATATATGTACATATAATCTAAATGAGATCAAATCTCTAGATCAAACTATCAACTTATGGGGAGGGAGAGTGAGCTAGAAGATTGCTTAAATAACAATCCAGGTAGTGGGAAATTTAGAGGGAAAATGGTCGCGTTTTTTCAAATAGTATCAGCTGTAACAGAAAAAAGAGACTTACACATAGGTGTTCATCACACAATTCTTCGTACTTACATATATGTTTGAAATTCCCCATAATGACAAAAGATTAAAAAGAATGGTGAAAACGTATAAAAATTTTAGCATCTAGTCACAATGACAGTCAAAGAAATGAAGCTATATAAAAAAATCTATGTACTTTTCTTTAGGTACCTGAGATTGATACCTACTTTGGAGCATGCCTGTAACTGGTTTCCCATAACTTCTAACCGTGATAAGAGTCTATCTTCATCTATTAAAGCCTGTTGAAGAAAAATTAAATAAATAAATAAAACCACAGGGTAATTAAATATTAACTATATAAAAACGCTTGCTCTTGCCAAAAAAAGATATCTGCTGAAAAATACTTAATTTTCAACATTTGTTCATTAGTTAGGAAAAAACTTTGTCCTTGCTTGCTACAAAATTTTAGTTTTAGTTCACTCAACATCTAGGGTATGTTAAACTATGTTTAAATGTTTCTTGAATATAAAGGCAACTGAATACCTGCCAACTGGTATCTGAAGCCTCTTGGGTGATGGCCAGTAACCGCTGTAGCGTGGCTAACTTCTGTTCCAGCATCTGTTCCCGGTGTAAGGCCTCCTAATACAAAAAATCACAAAAGAGATTCTGATAAAACTCAGCATGATTCCTTTGAGAAGTAAACAATTTGCAGCACATTCTGAAAATATTCTCATACCATACCCACTTTATACCTTACTTCCAAATGTGATAAATCTACTTTGTCAAATATGTACAGGTCCCATCATTTTAGCCTCCTGAATCATTTGTTGGGCTATAAATACTGCCGTTAGGGGTGGTCTAGCTGCAGCTTCCTCATAACATAGAAAACAAGTCACCTGTCTTTTTTTTATTCATAATTCACAAGAGTTTAAAAAGAAAAAACAACAAAGTAAACTAGAAGAAGCTAGCAGATGTTTTAGGCCTGTACATACACAGAGAGAGGGAGGGAGAGAGAAAGAAACGAAGTTACCTAAAAAGCTATGTATTTTTCCTAATGTACCTGAGATTAATACCTATACTTTGGAGCATGCCTGTAATTAAGAGAGAGATTGCTTTATTCTCACAGCCTATTGTACTTTCAGATGTTCTGATTTTCTCCCTGACTGCCTACCACCTAGCAGCAACTGAACATGTCAAAAATAAGAGCCCACCAAATGCTGGTTCAATGTAAATTAGAGGCCAAGGAGTTATCTGTTTAACTATTTGGCAGCTCCAAAGGAATATTTTAAAGAGAAAGACGCTGGCTAGCAAAGCCTGATCTCTAGGTGACTTATTAACATTTGACAGCTGTTAGGATGGTCTCCTCCACCAAGCTGAAAATGCTCACACAGCATTCAGCCATGGTTTTGGCACATCTTCTTTAAATTTCACTTTCTTCTATTCCTGTCATTATCCAGAGGACACTTACTACTCTAATAACCCTGAGCCACTTCAACAAAGAAGTGGTTGCTTCAAACACAGCACTTAAGGGCTAACGCATGAATTTACTGCTCTCCACATCCTTGATAAATAATGATGAGGAAAAACCTGGTCTAATTAGAGCTAGAGGTACTCTTTTTTTTAATATAACTTTAAAAGTATAGATTAAGGAATCTAATAAAAACCATGTCACCTCAGAACCCACATTCCAACATAGCTTAGATTTAAAAACAGACTATTTGCCACATTTATTTTAAGCCTCTAAAATATTGCCAGTATTCGGGAAGTTATACTGATGATGCAAAAGTTTTACTTAAAAACAAAACCACCAACTAATAATATCTTCACAGTCTACTTCCACTAGAGGGTGTAATTTCACCTTGTTTACTCAATTCTGTTTAGAGTTTTAGAACTCCATGAACTACATCCTAACAAAAATCTAATACTTTCAGGATTCTAAAGCATGAAAGGTACCTATTCCAGTCCTGTATTCAAAAAGTTTACAATTTACACTAGAACTTTAGCAATTCAAAAAGGGTGTATCCAAAAAGACTGTGAAGTGTAATTTTTTCTCAAAGAGTTGGAAAAGGAACAGTGACACATCAGACTTACTGTGAGTATTATACCATTTCATAGATGAGGGAAATGAGGCACAAAGGGGGTTAAACAACTTTCCCAACAGATCGTAAGTTAAAGCCAGGGATCAAATCCAGGGAGTTCTGGCTAGAGTAGAAGTTTTTAAATACTCTACTACACTGCAAGTATGTAAAACTGCTTTTCTATGGACGATTAGAGTCTCTGGATGGTGTAAAGAGTTAACAAGCTCAGTTTGCTGACTATGTATGTACCTTGAAAGAAAGGCCTGGTGATCTACTTCTGAAAAATCTGCCACTGGAAAGCCTAGGAGCACAGTTCTATTCTGGCACACATGACGTCGCCATGAGTCAGAATGACTTGCCGGCAACTGGTTTTTTATGGACGATTACATTATGCCAGGTGGAGGATCTGCCGGCAACTGGTTTTTTATGGACTATTACATTATGCCAGGTGGAGGATCTGCCGGCAACTGGTTTTTTATGGACTATTACATTATACCAGGTGGACAATCTAATGCTCTGATAACTTTCTGTTCATTTTCACAGATGCATACATTCTTTTTTTTTTTCCTGTACTTTAGATGAAGGTTTACAGAACAAACTAGTTTCTCATTAAACAGTTAGTACACATATTGTTTTATGACATTTGTTAACAACCCCATGACATGTCAACACTCTCCCTTCTCGACCTTGGTTTCCCTATTACCGGCTTTCCTGTCCCCTCCTGCCTTCTAGTCCCTGTGCCTAGGCTGGTGTGCCCCTTAAGTCTCGCTTTGTTTTATGGGCCTGTCTAATCTTTGGCTGAAGGGTAAACCTCAGGAGCGACTTCATCACTGAGCTAAAAGGGTATCCGGGGGCCATACTCTCAGGGTGTTTCCAGTCTCTGTCAGGCCAGTAAGTCTAGTCTTTTTTATGAGTTAGAATTTTGTTTTACATTTTTCTCCAGCTCTGTCCGGGACTCTCTATTGTAATCCCTGTTAGAGCAGTCAGTGGTGGTAGCCGGGTACCATCTAGTAGATGCGTACATTCTTGAGGTAGAACTGCTTTCAGTAATTAATTCATGTAAAACAACACAGGGACACAGTATCACTGGTTTGGTGGTAAACATTTTAAACAAAAGGCAACTGAAAGCCTACACATATAAAATGATTCATTCAGGCTCACAGAACTAATTGAGTAGCAGAGACCAGACAAAAACATCAATCTCCAAACTTCTGATCCATGGTGTTCCCTAACCATGCTCCCTCACCAGAATAACAAGGACTACATTCAGCCCAAATCTATGAAAACCAGAAAAATATAACACTTGTTTCCTTTTCAGAGACTTACATGACTGTTTAAATATGGTGTTAACTTCTTCAGGAGCCTTTTCCAAGTATCTGACCTACCAAGAGATCTTTCTACAGATCCAGCAGTACAGCACAGTGGTTAAGAGCACAGACTCTGAGGTTTGACTGCCGAGTACAAATCTCAGCTCTACTGCTAACTAGGTATGTGACATTATGTAACTTACTTAACCTTCCTGTCCCTCAGTTACTTCATCTGTGAAAACTGAGGTAAAATATCTACCTTCTAGAATTACTGTGAGGATTAAATGAATTAATATAGATAAAGTGTTAGAACAGACTATGGCACATAGTAAGTGCTATATAACCATTTGCTATTAATATTATTAAATAAAAAAATCTTTCCAGGTTTAATTTTATTTAAAAGTCATCTACTGATAAAGAACTATTTTGGAACTTCCTCATATCTGAAGAACAAAACTTCTCTTGCACAGAACCTTATCTCCTCTAGACTTACAATCTGATTCTTTTATCCTTTCTTCAAAGGACCTATTTTTAATATTTTGTTCTTATTTAAAAAGATTTTATTTTTGTATTAGTATCCAGCCAATAGTTCTTCACTCAATATTTAGGAACTGGCAAAATCAAATCTAGGTTGTTTAATTTTGCCTTTAGGAAAAAGACTAGGAATTATCAAGATTCATTTTTACCTGTAGATACTGAGAAAGCTGGAATAGTTCCTGAGAGTACATACTTGGAGTGTTAGCAGCAACCTAAAAACAAAATGACATCATGTCAATAGTTACACAGAACATTTTATAAAAGATTAAAGCCCAACCAATTCCTTAAAATATCTATTTATTTAAATATACAAAATAAAAATTGTTTTTCAAACTAGCAACTTTCCTTGGTTCTCAAAATATTTCTGTCTAGAATTTTAAATCACATTATAATATTATGCTGACCATTTTGAGATTTATAAGCAGGGTGGAACAAGTGCTACTTATGAAAACATTCCCTGATAAATCAAATTACAGATTTATAGCACAAAGGCAATACAGCTTTTTCTAAATCTAGAAATAATACTTCCTAAATTAATAGATCTATTTTTCTCTCCTTGAAAATTAATCTTTAAATAATGCTTTAATATGTCATAAATTTACAATTCATTTAGAAGTAGACATCTTCAAAATGGTATTTACGTATGTGTGGGGTGGCAGGACATGAAATACAACATTTTGTCCAATGGGTAGAGGCAATGAAAATATTTTTATCTTTTCTTTAAAAAACTGTAAGTAGCTTTTAAAAGGAAAAATATGGGAATAATGGTGTTTAAACATTACAAAATAGTCAAACTGCTTAGAACTCAAGAGTATTAGAAGAGGTATCTTTTATAAGGAGTTTTTTAAGGCTATGAAACATAGAACCATGTCATTATTTTTTTTTTCTTAAAAAAAAAAAAGGCACTAAAGGATTGCTGCAATATTTATCCACATCCTCAACACTATCAAATTCTAAGTATTAAGAGCATCATTTCTTACTAAGCTCTGAAAGTATATTTTTATTAGTATCATAACTAGAAGACAAAGAGGTATTATTTTTAAAAGTTAGTCCTAAACCAGCAATGACATTATTTACTTCTGAAACAATTCTTGGTGTTGCTGAAGTTGGAGTTAGCAGTGGTCACTCTAACTTCTAACAAAGGAAGCTAACAGGGAACTTCAGTTTCAAGCAGACTTTCATTCTTCTTCCAATGAATAAAAAAATGTGAAATACTTTTTCCAACAGTGATAATAAATTAGGAAGGCATATAGTTTAGTTACTACACTAAAAAAACTCAACAGCTACATTAATGTCAAAAGATGCGTTTTTTTCCCACTATTTAGCAATGATAGCTATGGTTTAATACACCATTATTTCTGAAGAAAAGAAAAATATTTCCTAACAAGCAATTAGCTCAAAGTTTCTAACAAGATCAGGTTAAAATCTTCAAGGACAATAAAAGAACAACTTCTGGGAGCCAATATTTCCATGTGTGGGCAAATACTGAACTATTTGGGTAGAAAGCTTTAATAAACATTTGCAGACAGAACAGTGTTTCAGAATAAAAATTACTAACACTCCTTACCTCTGAATAGGCACAAAACAGGTAGTCCTAGACGACAGTCAACAGATTACTTGAAATAACAAAGGCTATCCCCCCCCAAAATTTATTCCTAAATTCTCCAGATATTAAAGACTACAATAACTATATAGTTACATACATTCTATATATTTTGTTATAAAAGAGAAATAAGTTCCTAGGTAGAGCATATTAAAAACAAACAAAAACACTTCCCAAGGCTATATAGCTAAACCTATTTGGAAAAAAATAATCATTAGCAACTTACTTTGTCAACAGGACTTGGTAATGGGGCATGGATGACGCTGAAAAGTAAAATTTAGAATTTTTATCTTATTTCCTGACAGAGGAAATAGAGTTTGAGTGTACCAGCATATCTTCAACCCCAAAGTTGATGCCATTTGCCTTCATGTAATTCTTAAAAGAAAGTGAATTATTTTGCAATTCTTCATAAATGTATAGAATTCTTAGAAAACAAGGTAATGAAAATATAAACCTAGCTTTTACACAATCATTGTATTTCTAAAAACAACTTCAAAATCAAAAATGTATTAAATGTCTTCTGCATACTCAGTACTTAATAAGAGCTGCAGTGAATTCTTCAGTTATAAGATCTTCTGCACAGAAAAGAAGCACTCCTTAAGTTATTCATTTTCAGTTTTGGAATGTATAAATTAATTTCTTTTAAACTCATTCTTATAAAGGCAATCTTAAAAAGCAAAGTTCTACTGGAAAGAATGTCTGTAATTTGGAAACTTCTTCCAGTGGAGAACAACTTTTCCTAATCAAACAGCAGTGATGTTCTTCTTCACCCAGCCATCTCATACTTTAACAATGGAAATCTTCAATATATGTATGAAACTAAACACAGTATATCACTTTAAAAAAATTACATAGGCAGTGTTAATTGGTACTAACTAGCTTTTTGGCATTATAAAATTTTACTTACAAAGAGGGAGTATACTGTAGCAGTTAAGCACACATGCTTAGAAGCTATACTGGCTGGGTCTAATTTCCAGCTCTACTTACCAGCTGTGTACTCTTGGGTAAATTGCCTAAACACTATAGGTCTCAGCTTCCTCATCCATAAAATGAGGATAATAATAATAAAACAAATGCAATAGGATTATTATGAGTAGTAAATGTAATAAATAAAGGGTAGTAAATGAAATAAAGAACAGAGTAGCTAAGGAAGCCAGGGCCCCTACCTTACAGTGCTCTGTAAGATACTGTATGTGTATTGGGGGTGAGTAGAGGGGACACAGAGCAAGGATGCCACCCACGTCCCCTATCAGTTGCTAATCACTCCATATCCTAGCTGTGACTCTGGTGATGTCCAACTTGAAGAGTGACTGGGTAAGGTTCCTAGATTCAACTGGTTAATCATGTGTAAGCTGCTGAGAAACTGATCCAGCATGACTTAAAAATCAGGAATGATTTTGATCCCACTCTAATAACTGCAAATACCCTACAAACTGTTCCAATTCATCTAGTCACAAATACACTAAAATGTTGAATAAACTGGAATATGAAGTACTAGCACCCACCTCCCTTCTGAGCGTGGATCATAACCTGTACAGACTTCCAATGAGCCCATATGACCCTTTGCTATACTTCTTTGATTACAAGTCTGTGTTCTCCTCCTGACTGGTTGAGACACACAGGGAAGGAACTGTGACCAATTCACTTCTTCATCCCCACAGCCTATTACAAGGCCCTAACAGAGCTGGTACCTAATGTAGGTTTAAAAAAATTATTTACAACTTTAATTTTTCTTCTCTACTCCATAAAAATGAAATAGACATTTTAAATGTAATAGGTTCCTTTTCCTGACTATACAAATAACATATGGATTAAGGAAAATGTGTGAACTATGAGGAAATAAATAAAAATTTCCAGTGCCAGCATCTAGAGATAACCATTTTGGGTATATATTCTTTTCTCTGCAGATACGCACATATAGGGAAATGAACTTTAAGAAGTCTAAACAGAAGCTATTGGTATTGACAGAGATTATTAAAAATTCAGTTTTCTTAGTGACTCAAGTACAAAATCTTCTATTCTCATGAAAATGTGGTTAACAAATGAAAGGCTAAAAATCTAGCATATCATTCTGCAAATGACACATACTTGTATTTTACAAAAATTATCTTGGATATAGGTACATTTTGTTTGAATTATGGAAAAGTTCCATGTGCCTATACACAAACAATACAAGGGAATATAAAAAATAAAATGGAACAGTTATTTAGTGTTAGGATGAGGGATTATAGGCAATTTCTCTGATTCTTATTAGAAAATTATTTGTGCAATATAATAAAAATCAAGACAGAAAGGGCCACATAAACCAGAGACTTCATCAGCCTGAGACCAGAAGAACTAGATGGTGCCCGGCTACCACCAATGACCACTCTGACAGGGAACACAACAGAGAGTCCCTGATGGGGGAGAAAAGCGGGATGCAGAACTCAAATTCTAGTAAAGAGACCAGACTTAACAGTCTGACTGAGACTGGAGGAACGCCAGAAAGCATGGCCTCTGGACTCTGTCAACCCAGAACTAAAATCATTCCCGAGGCCAACTCTTCAGACAAGGTTAGACTGGACTATGGGACATTAAATGACACTCAAGAAGAGTGTGCATCTTAGCTCATATAGATGCATGAGACTAAATGGGCAGCTCCTGTCTGGAGGTGAGATGAGAAGACAGAGAGCGTTAGGAGCTGGTTGAATGGACACGGGAAGTCAGGGGTGGAAAGGAGGAGTGTGCTATCACAGTACAGGGAGAGCAATTAGGGTCACATAACAATGTATGTATAAATTTTTGTACGAGAGACTAACTTGAATTGTAAACTTTCACTTAAAGTACAACAATAAAAATTTTTTAAAAAATCAAGGAAGAAAAAGAGTAAGTTTTTTGAGAACTACTCACTGAGGATCTTAAAAAGCACTGAATTTTATGTACACAATGAATTGTAAACTATAAATCGTTCTGACACACCCCAAAACACCTTAATTGCTAAAAAATATTAAATTCTAATAATAGAAACAGCTAATGTTCATCATGTGCTTATTTTATGCCAGGCACTGTGCTAAGCTGTTTAACTGCACAATCTTGTTTAATCCTCATAAAATTCCTGCTCAATAGGCACTATATTGTCTTCATTTTTCAAATGAGGAAAGTGAGGCTTGAGCAAGTCATAAAACAGGTGGAGTTGGACTTTGAACCAGACTATCTACCTCTAAAGATCATGTGATCTTCCTTCAGTTCTAGAGAAATGCCTGTTCAAAATTCATTTTCTCCAGAAGTCAGCCAGATTATGTACAATGAAACCGGTAACATTTTAAGTGATGCTGAGGTTCAACCACGTAAGAAAAACCAAACAATGAGAAGGAAACAGGAGCAAAGATTAAAAGCATTGTGGAAACAAGAGGGATAAGGACACAGTTCACTGAAAGAGACTAAAAAAATTCACATGCCATACTAGATCGAACTTGAGAACACAGATGACTCCTTACGTAACTGCTCAAAGCTTTTGAATCCATGAAGGAAAAATCTCATTATCAAATGCAAACATCAAGGTCGTTAAGAAGTCATACAGTATTTGTTGATTAATAGTTACATTTATTTCTAAAACCTTAACTCTTAACTCATAAAAGCTGAGTAACATTACAGTTACTAAAGTTGATTGCAATTTTTAGATTTTGTACTTGAGTCACAAAGAAAATGGATTTTTAAAAATTTCTATTAATACTAATAATTTCTATTATGAAATTAAACTGTAATTTAAGACAGGAACCAAAGTAATGTTTTAAATTTAAAATGTTCTCAAATTTCTGCTTTTCTTCAGATACGCTTAAAGATATGTAGTAGCTTCTAACTGAAACATAAAATATAATGATGCTAATGAAAGCACAGACTATCGCAGTAATGGAAGGGCCTGTCTCTTTTTCTTTCTCTACTCACTACTCTACTTTGCCTTCAGCTTATTGCTTCTCTAAACCTCCCACCCTCAGATCTTTGTCTCTGCTTAGGAAACACAGAAAATACTGTGTTGGGCATAGAAAACAATCTTCTAAAATATTCAAAGTTTTCCCCTAAAATAAAAATGTTGACATTTAATGATTGCTCAGCTCCCCCCAACACTTCACAGTGATTATCTGTGAAAAGCACAAGATCATTTTAACATTTACATTTTACGAGTAATTTTCCCCTTTCAAATTCTGTCCTCCTCTAAGTGACTTTTCCACTACCTCATAAAAAAATAAACATGACATTGGGAAAGAAACTCCCACCAAAATAAGTTACTAACCATATCAACATCCTCAAGGTCCTATGAGATTGTGATTCTGGCATTCACTTTATAGGCAAGCATAGCTTAAGAAGTTTTATACTGAATGCAGATCAAAAGGAATGGAGTTAATTATTACTCACCAATAACTTAAATACCCCGAACATTTTGACAAATAACTAATGATCCATCAGAACATAAACTGTAAAGTCAAATCTGGCAACAAAATAATCTCTGCCTCCTTATATACTATTATTTACTAGAATTGCAACTAATATAAAAAGTAGTTAAACTGAAGTGTATTATACTTCAAAGAGTACTATTTCAATTTTTTCAACGTAATTAAAATAATCCTGAAGTATTAACACTATACCATCATCCAGAATATTATTAACCAAAGTAATTAATCCAAAAACTTCACAGCACTTAATTATACTCACTCTGAGCGGAGCCGGGCTTCCATACCATCTGGTAGAAAAAGTTTTATTGTGGAAACAATACATCCATGGGTAACTGATAGAAACAAACAAAATGGATTAAAGTAATTGCTTAAAAATATAACACTTCATACCCTTCATATTTAAACATGTATTTTGTTCTTAAACGTAGCAACTTCTGGGAAAGAAAATAAACCTGGTGATTTAATGACAATATTCATTACCCAAGAGAAATTCATCCCTGTCCAGAATGAATCACAATTCCACCATAGACTATGGAAAGGTCTGTTTTGAAAAAGTGTGCTACCCTCCAATTCTACAGTCAGTAAAAGGTCAGCTGATTACATAAAAAAACACTTGACAGGGGAAACGCACTTTGTCCCCCATCTGCTAACTCCTATTCCTCAGTTTAAAATATAGCCCTTATCCCAAATTCTCATGTTCCCAGCCCATAACTCCTTTCCACACCTCACGGAACTCTAAAATTCTCCATAATACAGTTTGGAATATGCCTATCAATCTCCATTTTGTGGATGAGAAAACTAAAATCCCAGACAAGTGAAAGCGACTCTGTAACTCTCTGCTATTAAGTGTCTGAGATTCTCAGTTCAGTTTTTAAAATTTTTGTTGTGTTTTCTTGATGGTTGTTTCCCTACCAACCACTATCAAACATCTTTATATAACATCACACTAGTCACTTTGTAAGTAACTTTTCATCTTTGCTTCTTACTTCTTCCTTTTCCTACTGAAGATTTCAAGAGACATAACTCCAACAGGAGCCCTGGTGGTGCAGTGGTTAAGTGCTCAGTTGCTAACGAAAGGTCGGCGGTTCGAACCCACCTGCCGCGCCACGGAAGAAAGATGTGGCAGGTGGCTTCCATAAAGATTACACAGCCTTGGAAACCCTATGGAGCAGTTCTACTCTGTCCTATAGGGTTACAACAAGTCGGAATCAACTTGATGGCAATGGATTTTAACCCCCCAGAAGCTGTACTTGTACAGAGCTTCTTTTTGTGTGTGGGTTTTACAGAGAAAAGAAAAAAATTCTGGTTTTAAGGGTGATGGTTTTTATTTCTCTGTTCTTCAGATATTATATATTCCAGGATTCAGAGTTAATTTATTGAGTTCACCAAACTAACTCTGATTAAGAGCTAATGAGGGTGATGAAAATATACTTTACCATGACTGGAACAGTGGTTATGTGACTATATACAATTATCAAAACTGAGTGAATTATGTATGTAAAGTTAGTGTTATAAGTAAATCATACCTCAATAAAGCTGATTTTAAAAAACAGAGCTAATGTATTTATATGGGTATACCTTATTAAATGATCATGCCCATAAATCACCAAAATAATATTATAAACATAAAGTAATACGATTGCCTTGTCACCTGGAAATACACATTAAACGTAAGGAATTTAGCAGTTTATTCAATATCAGTTTTCATTAACTAACAGATGTCGTCCCATCTATGGGAAAGATTCTAAACTGTCTGCCTAGTATAGCAATCATAGAATGCACCACTAGGCTCCTGCCATCCTTTCTGGCTTCACCTTCTATTCTGCTACCACAGATTTTCTATGCAAAACCAAGCCACCTGCACAACTCCAAACACCTTACCTTTCACAACCCCATGCCTTTCATACAAGCTGTCCCTTCTGTCAATGATGTTCTTTACCGCGATGCCTGCATGGCCAAATGTGACTTATTCTCTAGGCTCAGACTTTGTACTTCCTTCATCAAAGTTCATATCTGAATTAGGTGTCCCCAGAGCATCCTGCATCTACTTCTCGTAACATTAAGCACACTGCATTGTGAATATTTATCATTTACACATCAGTTAAACTCAATTCTTTCAGGCCAGCAAGGGTTGGTTGCTTCTCACTTTTTAAACCCCAGTACTTAGCAGAGTATCTACTACATGTACACATTTAATCAATGTTTATTGACTATGTCAAAGAACATGCCTGGCAGTTCCTCCAAAAATTTAATACAGAATTATCACATGACCCAGTAATTTCACTCCTAGGTATATATCCAAAGAACTGAAAGCAGCAATTCAAACAGACACATGTATACCAACATTCATGGCAGCATTAATCACAATAGTCAAAAGGTGGAAACAACCTAAATGTCCATCAACAGAGGAATGGATAAATGAAATGTGGTACATACACACAAGGGAATATTATTCAGCCATAAAGAGAAATAAAGTTCTGATACATGCTACGACATGAATGAATCTTGAAATCATTATGCTGAGTGAAATAAGTTGGTCATAAAAGGACATTGTATGATCGCACTTATATGAAATATCTAGAACAGCGAGATGCATGAAGACCATAGTTTATTACTAGTTACCAGAGGTGGAAGGGAGAGGGAAAGGGGGATTAGTAATTAAGAGGCACCGAGTGTCTGTTAAGGGTGATGAAAAAACTTAGAAACAGATGCAGTGATGGTGGCACAACATGGTGAATGTAATTAATGGCACTGAATTTTATATGTAACAATGATTGAAATGGCAAATGTTTTCTTACATATATACTTTTTTACCACAATTTTTTAAAAGAATTGTTTAAATGCCTGGTTACTATTGTACAGCTTCCCTTACTCAGTAGTAGAGATGTCTCTTACTTTAAGGATAGCGGAGTGGAGCTCATCTCCATTTGAAGAACCTCCTAATCCCCTCCTCTCTCTGGCAGAAGACAGGGAAGAGATGATTTTTAACAGCTCTATGGGCTCCCCCAGAGATTTACTATAAGCAGGCTACAATAAATACAGGAGCACAATAAGAAAATCCAGCAATACCAACACTTTACCAATATATTTAAATTGGTAATAAAGTTATTGTTATTTTAAAGAAAAATAGGTGGAGTGAGTTACAAAATAAAACTGCAGTGCCAGAGATGACAACCTGTGGTATATTAAGTCAGGAATTCTGTTGTTCAGATATATCACCTTGAAGCACAACTAATAGAATAATGCACAAATCTATAAGTAGAACCAAAGGCTAATACTGACTGGGCAGTACAGGGTTGCTGCACTGCTGAAGGCAGTCAGACACCACATCTGACTAAGTGGACAAGCTAGTTCAGCCAACTGTGCCTTTAAAAAGATTCTCATGACAACCAGATACATAGATGCATAGAAATGTTATTGCTCTGATTTGCAACGGGCAAGCATTTAAAGCAACCCAACTCTACATAGCAGCATTTCCCCAAATGAAGTGCTAGCAGGTGTTAACAAAAAAGGATTCTGGGGTCAGATGACTTTGGGAAACACTTGGTTAAAAGAGGTTTAAATAGACTTTTATTTTCTTAAACCAAGGCTTTCTCAGAGTTTAATGGGCTTGTGTCCATCATGAGGTTCTAAAGGTAAGGTGCATTTTCCAAAGTTATTTGATCAGAGTCTCCCACCTCCCCTCTTTTAGGCACACTTATGCAGGAACTGGTATTATGAAGAAAATATTTTACATACTGCTCAGAAGCATTCTATGAGGCACTCTTAAAACATATTTTGCTCTCAAAAATCACCTTGAAACATTATTATCACCGTATTTCCAACACTCAAAAACAAAACTGAATATAAATCACAATTTAAACAAGTTCTCCAGGGGAAAAAAAAAACAATTGCCACATTACACATGCACTGTAAATCAATGTAAGTTTCAGAAATGTTAAACCATGAAAGTCTGAATCACGGAAACCAGGTATCTGCAGAAGGAAAATCCACAATTACCTGCTATAGTAGAAGACTTTATTAAACATCAGAATTAAGACTATATACAAGCTGACTGCCATTTATTTGTATGTGTGCAGTGATTTTTTTCTGTTATACAGACTATTTGGCTTTTGAGTTAACATATTTATTTTGTGGTATGCAGCCAGTCTTTTCTATCGCCTCCTCACACGAACGCCACTTAGAGGAGGACGCGTGCTGCTTTGACAAGTCTGAAAACTATCGGAGGCCCTGTACTGGAGACTGGAACTTCTGGCTATGCTGTAGTCTGGCTCTATCTCCGTTCCTGCACTAAGTAGAAAAGCCAATATTTCTCTAAACTTGACAGTGGCTCAAAGGATCTCTTGAAATGACTGGCAGTAATAGGAAGTGCCATATAAAAGCCCAAGCAACATTTACAAAAACCAAGACTTAGATGAGAGGTGTTAACATTTCCAGACTGGGAAATGATTTGCTTATTTGCCTTTCTGACTGCATTCAAAGGCAAAGCAGTTATAAGAACTTTCCAATCTAAATTTTTAGCATCATAAAGCTTCTAATCCTTAGTCTCCCCGCCACCCTCCCAAGTTAGAAAAGAGGCAGGGAACCTAGCATTTGCTGAGTACACAATACTCTTTGAATTTTTTTTTTTTACATTTTAAGATTAATATTCCATCCTTCATGTGTGAGCTGGAGTTCAGCTATAAAAAACTTTCCCTCTTCAACTACTTCTTTACCCTGAGGAACAACCCTACAGGATAGGTAGGATAAATGTTTTATTTTTTCCTTTTATTTATCTGTTTTCAGAATGATAAATTGGCCTCCTAAGTTATTCCAAAACGGATCAAATGTTTTTTTCTTTGTAGTACCACTAAGCTCATGGATTTCAACATACTTGATATATTTGGATCCTCTGTTGTTGCTATTATGTGATGCTCAAATCGTCCCATCTTTGACCAGTGGGAACTACTTCATGTTAATTCCCGAGTCTTTTGACAGGACTGTATCAGTCTTCACTGCCTTCTGGTATGACAAAATCTTCTAGGCTCACTTTGCACATTTCCTGCCCCAGATTCAGAGTCAACTACTTCTCCAAGGAGTCCTGTTTCTATCTATTTGGTGGGGGAAATCCTTTCTCTAGGTATGAGGATTCATTTGCTACTTTATTTCTCTAGCATACTATGAAAAGATATTGCTCGTTGGCTTATTTTTCAACTCACCTATGAGGAATGGTGGTTCTCTGGGTTTACGTGTTTGCTCAATAAACATTCAGAGAACCTGCTGGCACAAAGTAATATGCTGGGAATGACAGGAAAAACCAAGATGATTAAGGTCCCTGTCCTTGAGGAGATTT